AGCGGGGCAACGGCGAAGACCTTGAAAGGGACTGAAACACAAGTGAGGAGCATATACTTTGCGTACAACTAGGTATACCTGAAAGAACAAAAGACCGATCGGACATGAATCAGGCGGGATTAGCCGCGGCCGTGGGCAAAACGAGGAAGCTGGCCGATCGAAAAACAGGAACTCGAGAATTGTGCTTAACAAAAAAAAAAAAAGTCCAACATTCACGTAGCGGGTCGTCTTTGCGACAGACTTGCGCATGCGGGCGCGCACTTCTTTCTGGCGAATCCTGAGCCACAGACTGGGCCGTCACGTAGGACCACAAAGATTAGTGGCGATGAGCGGCGGTTACCTCGTCGCTGTTGCACTGATGGAGGCCACGGCGATGCGTATAGGAACGCAGCATCGGCAACCGCGGCTTCAAAGACGAACCGCCCTAAGAATTCCCTGGCGCGGCTGATTTACGATGGAGGATACGTCGTCGAATTTCGACGCGACACTGCAGTACTGCCGTCGTACTCTCCTTCTCACTGTGTCACCCCCTCTCCTCTTCGTTGCACCCCCAAAGAGGCAATGCGGCGACGAGATCACCGAGACAAGTGCAGTGAAGAAAGCGCGACGGGAATATATAGCGGTGCCGCGGCGAATTCATTACCAAAGGCAAAGGAGTGCGGACTAGCTCAAGCGTGACGTCCAGTTAATCTGAGCACCCGCTGGTCAGGATTCGAACTGTTCAATGCGACGAAGCATGACGTCGAAAAAGAAATAGATTGAGTGAGTTGGTGAGTGAGTGAGTGAGTGAGTGCAAATTTACTGAGGTCCGTTACAGACGTGGGGATTGTGTCGCCCGCGCCCGCCCGCAGAGCCTAATTGCCGAAGTCTCTTGTAGATAATATTGTAGGCTTGCGTATAATGCTTAAACTTAAACCTTCGTGAGCCACCTGCGGCGATATCGGTCCAGCCAAGTGTGACCCGCGCGAATACGACTCCCAGCGAATAGGCTCACCGGGCGAGTACATCATACATGTCATCGCCGTTTAATGATACGTGATCCCAACGAGTACGAGTGACTGTATACAGTAAAGCCTTGCCATCGGTTAACCTGACTGCTTCTGGCGTACGGTGTCCACACAAGGAGCGATGAGAATCGATGCAACGCGCTTTCAGCCAGAGCACAAAGGCCGCCCTCGAAAGCCGCCGGGCGCACTCACCGGCAATTCGCTGACTCAAACATGGAAACACAAGCTTGTCTCGCGGTACGCGTTCATTAAGTAACACCATGAGATGCTTTAGTGCACGTGCAACTGGGTCTTCAGCAATCGGCTATGTATATATAGTTTCAGCTATCGGTTTATAAATCCAAATGAGTTGACATTGCCACGGCCGCTGCACTATAGCATATCGTCGCTTGCGCATGAAGATACACCTTATTTAATCAAGTTCGCGCGTACTTATCGTACATTACAGTCGATATAAAACTTTTACGCACGTCAACCAGTAGAAAAAGGGAGAGACGTCTGTCGGACTCGGCAATGACCACTAATATTCGGCCCTAGCTTCTCGCTAATTTTTTGTATAATTGTTTTATATGTGGTGAATTCTGAAGAACACTTGGCGCCTTGACATTTGAGGCATGCCTTGTGTGGATGGCCTTCATATTATGAAGACGCAAGGTTTAATTGGAAAAGAAATTTACCCGTGAAGCTGTACGGCGTGTTTTCTTGCTACCTTATCATTCCTTTTACGCACGAGCATGGTATCTCAGAACTCACCTGATCACACGTAGGTGGCGAGTTCGAAATTTCGAATTTTGCTGGTGCAAAACTTTTTTTTGCAAGCCTTTTTTTAAACTTATGTCTAGAGCATGCATATTCTCTATACCATAGGGGCAGTTTGTGCCGCAAACTATAGTTCTTTGCGACGCGTCAGTAGTTGTCACTGTTCCTTTCTTCGAAGGTGTTGCTGCTGCCACTTGAACGAAACGTTCATGATCACAAAACTGTGCTTCTGTTCTCACTGAAAGTTATGCTATTGACTTGACGCATTAAACTGACATCTGGGGCGTCTACGCTCAGAGGCATATGTTTACGATACATGTAGTTATGTTGCCTTGCGGCGTCGGCGGTGATACGCAGGCGCTAGACTGCACTCCGTGAGCAAGGACGGAGTGTCAGACTCCGTGCAAACGCAGAAAAGTTTGTGTGGGGGCTTGTTGGAGCACACTGTAGGTAAAGGCCGCGCTGTGAAGTTAAGGACGAAAAAAAAAAAAAAACCCCGGACTAACACAGATAAAGCGCATCTCAGAACTGAATTCATTGAAACAAAGAACCAAAAAGGGGGTGGGTGACATGCAAGGGAGAGGGCACTGAAAACCACGCACGATCCTACCGGAATGCAATATATGCCGTAAAACACGTGCTTTTGTCAAGATATAAGCATGTGTTTTGCGACATCGGTAGCATATCTGAACCAAAAATTGTTTCAGTTCAAGTATGTAACCAAACATCACATATAGTAGACATACCTGCGGCTATAACCTAATGTAGTTCAACAAGTGACAAAATTAGTGTGACATTTATTTGTTATCCTGACTTTTGAAAGGGAGCGGCGAGGAAGTTTTTTCTCTGATTACAATTCCACCTATACCGAACAAAAAAGAAAGCTCAATTGTCTCGATTTCACCGCAAAACTGATAAGTGCCCACTGCACCATATTTCTTCCTTTTGCGAATCAGTGAACGGCCAACCACCACGTTCTCGGTGAGGCAGCACACGAGCCTTCGCACCTGCTCACTTTGTTCACGATTTGACGGCTGCTCATGACCAAGTATGTGTGAGCGCTTTTTAATGGTTAGGCCTTTAATATTGTGCAGCTGACGCGTTTTGACACCTGGAGCGATTCTACGCTTCCGCCTCGCAATATTGCACGCGTTAAGGAGACTCATCCCACTACATAACATTCCCATAGGTAAAGAGAAAATAAATGGCGTGAGTCTATTGTAGCGCACCTGCTTGCCACGCAGAAGGAATGGGTTCTGTGCTCACTCGAACTGAAGCCTTTAATCATTTGTTTTATGTCCAGGTTTCTGAATTTTACCCTCAAGGAAAACACCGATTTCTTGCCCACAACTATTGACGCCGGAATTTCTGTGAAACAATCTCTTTGACGCTATTACGTTAAAACAACAACGAACATTACGTACGTTCTGTTTAAAATGATGCGTGTGTGTGTGGGGGGGGGGGGGGGAGGGGTAGCCAGAAACTTTCCCGAGCAACGCAATTCCTTATGCTCACTTTGGAGTGGGCGAACGTTATCGAGTGCTTTCTTCAGTGGCCCACTTAATTGAGCAATGTCTGCAGTATACCAAGGTCTCGAGAAAGGAATAAAAAAAAATGTTCGCATTTGCTAACAGGGGCGTTTAAATACGACGAATGAATGGAACAGGTCATCCGATTATTTATTCGAAAGTCTTGTATATACGCACATGTCTGGTTATTTGTGCGCCCTGTAGGAAAATTAAAATTTCGTGCGAGCTGCAAGTTCAAGTCACGTAAGATCTAAAAATCTTGACTCCCCTTTTACGGATGTTTCCTCTTCTACGCATGTGACAGTTACATGCCATGCGCATCACTCTCTTCAGAGGGGCATGTTGACTCTCTTCAGTGAGTCGCGGGATGTACGAGTATACGCATGTGATTCAGACATGGCCAGCACTGTCTACGGAGGCAAATTGACTAGCTTTAGGAGAGAGTCGCACATTGACTCTTGTTTTGGGAAGTCATGCATCCCACGACTCTCTAAAGAGAGTCAACGTGCTATATAAAGAAAGCGTTGCACATGTGATTCTCAAATGCATTAAAGGGAGCCATAGGACACCTTTTTTTTTTTGTTACAGCGTATATTTAATGCCAGCCGCAGCAGAAGGTAAGACAAATACACCTCTGTGAAAAGTGAATACAATATACTACTATTCCTCAGTTATTTATATAAATACACAGACCATGTGACTTGTAGACGTCGTCTCAAGCAATGAACAAGCATTAGTATTATTTTGATAATAAAAAAAGGTACATAGTTATACAATTTTGCTGGTCTTTTTTTCGATTTCAATTGCGGGAAGAAGTAGTGGAGTTGCGCAGGACATGTATAGTGCTTAGTTGAAGTCCATTAGAAAGATGCATATTGACTGCTAAGGTAACTTCTGAAAAAAAAAACGGTGAAATTAGAAAAATAAGGAATTTTATGCACTTGCTGGAACTTATATAGGTTGAAGTAATAAGTATCGGAATGAATAGATGCCACTCGAGGTGGGCTTTATCGACATTAAACATACTAAAGATGATGACCAATGTATTGAGGCTCATTGAAACGTCTTGTTGGTGAGTTTAATTTAGATAAGCTGTCCCTTCTCGATAAATTAGAAAACGAAAAGATGATGGCAAACGCGAAGACCCGAATCAACGTAACGTCAAACGTCTGTTGCGTAATTTGAATCGCATGACTAGTCCGCTGTAATAGCAATCATTATTGGGTTATCCCGCGGCGTCATGAATAATGGAGAGAAGCCAGCTCCTAATTTCTGAAAGAAGATTTGGTACGAAGGATACCGACGATCCTTCGATTCATGGCATCCACGGCACGAAGGATGCCGTGAATCGTTTCTTTGGCGCCTAATGAAAACACTAGTGGGACCCACGCCACTGTATGCTTGCTGGTGCTGTGAACCTACAATTGCGACACTGTCCGGTTTCTACAGGTACGTGCTTAAAATCGAATGGTCACGGCCATAAAAATGCATCTTATTCCCTCCACTAACCTCGGCTCCCTTTTCCTTGTGCCTAAGCTGCGACTTGTCTTCACGATGAATGATTGCCTGCATCTCTACTTACGCCTGCTTTAATAAACATATATACGAGCATATAGTTAGTTTTCCCTTAGGCAACTATACAGCGCTTAGAGCAATTAGCGCGATCACATCTGTTCCCTAGCTCCGAGGAAGAAGTGCGGCTTACCGAACTGGCTCCGCATCCATGGGTAGAGAGGGCTGGGCATGGCCCCCGAGTTGTGCGTGGGCTGGCCGTTAGGGGGCATGCCGCCGTGGCTGGGCGAGTAGAGCTGTTGCTGCGGTGGCGAGTGGTGGACGCCGGGCGGACTGCCGCACGCCGCCTGGTGCATGACGGGCGTCTGCGGCGGGACGCACTCGGAGGCCGCCCGGGCAGGCAGGTCACCCGCGCCCAGGGGGGCGCCCTGCATCTTGCAGCTCGGGTACTGCGCCATGGCCGGCGGCACGGGCGCCTCGCTGGGCGAGCCGCGACAGTTCTGGCCGCCGTCCACGGACGCGGCGGCGGGCACGTACGCGCTAGGGTGCGTCATGCTCTGCGGCGGCTGCTGCTGCTGGTGCGGCGTCGGGGGCACGCCGCAGTGGTTACCGTAGTAGCCGCTCGGTGGGCTGGGAGAGTTCGGGGCGCTGTTGATGGCGCGGATCTCCAGCCTATCGTACGGCGGGAACCGCGGGTAGCCCTGGGGAGAGCCCCCGTACGAGTGCTGCTGGAGGTACTGCTGCTGTCGCTGGTCGCAGTGGTCGCCGTTGGGCTGCGGCTGTTGTTGCGGCGGGCCGTAGTGGTCGCCGCCGTTGCCGACGACGACGCCACCCGACGCCGGCCGCATGTCGGGCAGGTACGAGTTGGCGAAGTACGAGCTCATGGCCAGGTCCAGGTCGCCGATCTTGGTGGCCGTCTGAGGGGGTTGCGGCTCCAGCGCGAACGCCTCGGCCGCCTCCAGTGCGAGGCCGGCCACCTTGGCCACCGGGCACCTAGATCCGCGCTCCCCTTCTTCTCAATGAAGACTAGCGCACACTGGGCGCAACCTGCTGACGATGTCTCTTCGCTTATTGATTCTGCAGGCGGGCCGAACAGCGCTCAGGCCCGCCGCTCGCACTGCTGCTGCTGCTTCCGGCTGCGGGGCTGCGCCGCTAGCATCCAAGCCTGCGCACACAACAAAACGACGAGAATGTCACATCGCGCACATAGCCTCGGCTGCGAACAAAGATTGTTATCTGTACAGAGCCGAACGTGCGCCTCTAAATGCATGCCACCTGCCACACGGTAGGGACTGTCGAGCCTGTCCGTGTTTTAGGCGCAAATGTGATAGTCGTGTTTATGGTTGCGCTGCATGAAAAAAATTCAAAAGAAAAAAAAAGTCTAATCTACATGCGCATTGCCAGACCAAAGAATCGCGAAACGCGCCTGGCGAAATACTTCCGTCTAAAACGCATCCATAGAGTGTCGCGCGGGTTCATACTGGCCGAAAGTCATTCCTGTAAGGGCTGAATTCGGCACATCGCTTCAATCACGATGACGCTTCTGGCAGCTTTGGAATCAGAACAAAAGTGTTGGCGACCAAATAAACTAGCTCGTTGCTTTCACAATGCACAGTGAATCGACATGGTACACACACAGATACGGTACACAAAATAAATCGTAAATTAAAGAGAATGCTGTTCTTTTTTTTTTTTTGTAGCCGACAAAAAAGCCAAAGAAAACAAAACGTGCAGGCCTCCTGTTGACAGCGATTAGAAGCTTCTAACTGCACAGCACGTGACGCACTGACACTGCGATGATGTTGACCGGCGCGCAAGAAATAATCGATGTCTTCCGGCGATACCCGCTGTCCTCACGTGCTTAGGAAACCATGAGTGGAAAGGGCGCTGCAGTTTTCGAACAACGCGACCTGCCCGGCCGGCCGTAGTGCCGCGTCTCTATAGCAAGACATCACGCACGGTGAGAGCGTCTCACTTGCTGGTGGTGGTGGCAGAGAAAGTCGAAGAAGCGAGGAAGAAGGCGAGGCAGACAGCTGGAAGAGTTGCAGGAAGAAGACGATTCGGTAGAGGAGGCAGGAACACGCGCGCCTGGCTTCAGACCAAGTCGTAAAAACAAAACCGCGCGCGCCGCCTCTCACTGAGCGGCTTTTACTACCTCGCTAACTCGCGAACAAGGAAAGTTGCGACAGCCGGCCGTCTGACGGGGTTGAAGATTGGAGTCGCTTCGGGCGCATTTCCACACCCGACAGATATCGCGCATCATCGCGCGCGCGTATGTCATTGCACACGAATCTCGTGACTCTCACTAACATGCTGAACCACACTAACATGCTGAACCACACTAACATGCTGAACCACACTAAGATGCTGAACCACGGGAGAGGACGGAAGATCGTAGAGCACACTCCACCACTTGTGATGTAACGGTGAAGGCAACCTTTATTAGGCCCGGAAGACACGGTGAAGCGACCACGCCCAAGGCACAGAACTCACACAAGCCAAGTCCCCACAGCAGAAGAAGATGACGACCACTCACGATGATGAATATGTCTAAAGAGAGAAGATGTGCTTAATGAATGCCTACAGTAATAATAATTGTTGGGTCTTACGTTCCAAAACCACGATATAAACTTATGAGAGACGTCATAGTGGAGGGCTCCAGCCACCGTGGCCGGCTTCGATCCCGCTACCTTTCGTTCAGCAGTCGCACACTGGCTATGACCACCGCACCACCGTGGCCGGTGACCACGCTTGTGTTGTCAAATATAGGCTGTCCATCGTCATACTATAGTGACTGTTAACAGTAGTTAACTTTGCTTTAATTCCCTGACAGCATTATATGAATGACTATATTAAATGCGAATCATTTCTTAGCGAACTTCGACGTCTTTGAGCGTATCTATCTATCTAGCCACTTACGTTTGAATGCTCTCGTGATCACCCCCTTGACTTGGCGTGAACCAAAATTAGCATGGGAGGGTAAGATAGTTTGACGAATATGATGCGCTGGTCAAAACATTAATAATGTCACATTCCCGTCGCGTACGTCATCAAACACTCCCAGGCAGACAGTGGTACATGCCAACGAGCGAGTATGTGCCGCTGATATGCGTGTATGTACCACCGGTGATTGACACTTAGTATCTACCGAGGAACGACGAGAACAGACATGCGTAATTCTAACGCGTGAGCGTTAAGAAAAAAGCTCACATCGGAAGCGTTGATCCAATTAACGCAAATAATAAATGTCAGGATCCCCGCTGAAATCAAACCCAAGCATTCTGCATGGCAATGAAGCATTCTATCGCAGAGCTACGCCAGATCTCGGAACTAATTTTCAAATACACGCTAATCTTCGTGAAACGTCAATAGTGGTTGCAGGGCTGCCTATACCCAATTTTATAAACATTACACCTATATACTCCTTTGATACATCCGTCACGTCGGGTTAACGTCAATTGCGATTAGTTGCCATGCGCTGAAGTTGATTAATGTAGCAGTGTTCAAGGTCAGTATCCTCGCGAGCATCAGCGCTTCATATCAGCTTCTGGTGTTGCTAATACGCATGTTCCAGTTGGCATCGTTGCGCAAGTGCAAACGACTGGCCATACAAACACTTGCAAGTCTTCAACATATGTTTGCGCATGCGACATTTGTACATATATTTAGTGTCAATTCATGACGCGTCACTCAATAAAAACCATTGCAACACGCTCACCTTCCCTCCGCATGCTTCGCATAACGTCGATTCCCAAGGAATACGTGGGATCTGCCGCATTTTTTTTTTTTTATGGCATGAGTGTACAGGCACCATTAGTTGCCTGTACACTGGTGAGATAATTATCCAAATGTAAACTTTCAAAACGACTTTCAGGGAAATAAATCTGTTTTAGTGCAGAAGAAATTGAAAGAAGTGTAGGTTATATGGCAAGACAAAAATTATGGCAGCTGTGCACAAGTGGTGCCAAGCCACAAGAAAGAGCGGGCTATAGGAGGCTCTCATTTTTGCTGTTGACTTTATTTTACTCTCTTGTATTTCTTTCTCTTTTTCTCTGCTTCTTTTATCTCTTCCTTGTAGTTGTTTCTTTCTATTTCTTCCACTTTTTCTTTAACGATATCTGATAATCTACTTATATCTTTTTATTTATTCCCTTTCTCTCTCTGTTCATCACTTCCTCTTCTTGCTCTTTCTTCCTCTCTCTTTTTATCTCCTTGAGTGATTTCTGCCTTTAGCTTTCTATTTCCTTGATTTCTTTACTTTTCTTTATTTTTTGCTTCCTCTTTCTTTCTCTCTTTTTTTCTTTATCTATTTCGCTCTATATTTTATCTGCCTTTTTACAACCCTTTATTCCTCTTCGGCACCTTCTTACTACTTCCTCTGCTTCTTTCTCTCTTCCTCACGTGTTCGTTTTCATCAGACACTTGCATTGCTGCACACGGTAGGGAGACACTTGCATTGCTGCACACGGTTTGCCAAAATCCTCTGGCGCCTTCTCCTGTAGAGAAGCATGCATGACGAATCACGAATTACAAATAGCTTGAACAGCTTCACTTTGGCTATTTATCCCTGTGATTTGTCAAATATACCTATCTGTAGGCGTGCAGGGTAATGTTGCGCTTTCCGTAGCTGTAAGCACCGTATACATATATAGAGATTGTTTAGCGATCATGAGCTCTGAGATTTTCTTTTGGTACACCGTGGATCATAAACGAGTTCGCTTGCTGTCGCTGTCCTTCACAGTTGGCCGTCGTCAGTCGCTCAAGAAACCATTACACATCGATTATCTTGTACATCTAGGACGCTTGCAACGCGTTATTGCATCGTCCGAGCGCATATACATAAATCATAATGACTTAGTCATTCCACGCCGAGAGATATGCAAGAAATATGAGCGCAACAAGCGTCAGAGTTTACTATTGCGTGATTAAGCCTATACTCAGCAAGTGCGGTGAAGCTTGCGCATTTCTCGAGAAAGCCAACTGAGCTGCATCTGAATAGGTTAGGGAAATGATTGCAGGCGTGTGACTACAAATGTCGCACATTACACATGGACGCCAACGTGGAAGTGTTAACTAATCACACCAATCATCTGCGTTGTTTTTTTATGATACCTTTGTATGTGAATTCAAGATTTCTGCATGCTTAAGAGAGCCTTATAAATAATAGCTAAATATGGCGGCCCTGGTTCCGTCGCGTATTAAAGCGAGGTAATGCATGCAGATAAGGAGAGAGCGCCTTCGAATGCTAGATGTTTAAACACTATACCCTTAGTGATCGGACGAAACACAATCGATCACGATGACAACCATCAAAATATTTAGAAAACATGCCATAGATGGCACACTATAGCAGTTCAAGTAAGTTAGATCACCAAAATAATGAACGTTGCCAATATTCAACGACGATTAAAGAAGTGGCGCTGGTTGCAGTGGACTATCTTTGTCATTTATTAATTAATTAGGTGTTGTTATTTTTCTTGCGTCACTCTTCCTTTTCTGAGGAAAGAAAAGGTTACGTCGGCATTAGATATCGAATATTACTTCTTTCAGACCATAACGTATTCTGTCACACACTTCGCAAGCGTTCCCATATTCATTACTCTCACAAAGCGTATACAAATCTGTATAAGTGTCCAGCTGAATATTTTATACACGAGTACTTGGAAATACTGGCCGTTATGTGCATACTGCATGACATTTTGCATCAGTGATGGAAATGGTGTCCACAAATACCATTAATAAGCGTAGTCATTGAACTGATGTGGGAAACGACAGCATCGAACTGCTAAGATAGGCACCGCACTTATTCAACAGAAATTTAAGAAGTTCAACGAAGACACCCTGTACACCCTATAGGGTGGCTCGGATCGATACATGTTGTTATAGGGATAACAAGAAACTCGCAGATAAGAATACCGACTGCCCAGTACTCCACTTCTTCATCGTACACCCCATTTCGGATCATATCTGTCAGAAG